CGAGATACTCTGTTCTGCTGCTTGTGTCGACCAGGACCAGATACTCTGTTCTGCTGCCAGTGTCGACCAGGACGAGACACTGTTTTCTGCTGTCTGTGTCGACCACGACGAGACACTGTCTTCTGCTGTCTCTGTCGACCAGGACGAGACACTGTTTTCTGCTGTCTGTGTCGACCAGGACGAGACACTGTCTTCTGCTGTCTGTGTCGACCAGGACGAGACACTGTCTTCTGCTGTCTGTGTCGACCAGGACGAGACACTGTTTTCTGCTGTCTGTGTCGACCAGGACGAGACACTGTCTTCTGCTGTCTGTGTCGACCAGGACGAGACACTGTTTTCTGCTGTCTGTGTCGACCAGGACGAGACACTGTGTTCTGCTGTCTGTGTCGACCAGGACGAGCCACTGTTTTCTGCTGTCTGTGTCGACCAGGACGAGACACTGTGTTCTGCTGTCTGTGTCGACCAGGACGAGACACAGTGTCATGTATACTCTCCAAAGAAAGTAGGGAATATTCGAACAGTTGACACAAAGCGAAATTGATATACGGTCTGTTAAAAGCACAGGAAGATTAAACATAATTAACATGAGCAGCTCAACTATATGACATAGAGGTTATCACGCGAGTGTGTTTGGGGATGGTAAATATCCTGCATTAGGAATAAACATTGTATTTAGCGAGCCTTGGCTGTAGTTTATCCAGATTCCCGATGGTTAATTCTGACTCGATCGTCGAATGACAAGGGCGACGCCATGTTTGTTTATAAACAATGAAAGTAGTCCCTACTTGACCTTTGATATTTGCATCTCTATCCGCATATGACCCCAACGGATATCGTTTTTATCCGTTGGCTTTATCCTGCCGAGAAACCTACCCATTATATGATAAACTGAATGTATCCGTGTTAGGGACGAAGTTAAGAACTGCTCTTTGAACAGATCCACGTGAAGTATTTGGACCTTAAATCGTAAAAGGAGTCAGGTTTAATCAGTTCAGGTCTAAAATTGGCCTAGGCTGGGCATTAAAGGAAACTGTCCCGAATAGTGTTTTCATACCACTTTGAAGAGATTCGAGAACAACCATACGAAGTCCACATGGCCCAAAACAATTCTCTGTAAAGATGACCCCTCACCTTTATTTGCTCCTTCGAATCTCAAACTGATGGGCACGTGAACTGCACGTGTCGTCTCGTAGTGCCGTTATCCCACACTTCTTGTCATTGTTCACATCACTTGGATATGGATATAAGTATGGATTCTGCCAAGAGAAATCGCAGTTAATCTATGACCAAACGCATTACCATGTGGACTCACAGGGACCACACAATATCTAATGTAAGAATTTCATATATCAATTATATCACATTTCGATACTGATAAGCCAGATACAACTGCCCTAAAATTTGCCATGGAATCAGTCAGCGAATATTATTACTGTTTCCATCAACCTGTTTTAAACCTAAAGTATTTCAAACAGCTTGACTAAAAAGAATTATAAACAATCATGGAGTTGAAACGCTGATAGAACCGAAATCCAAAAAGCATCTATGACCCGACCTCTTACGGGCCAGTTGTGTCAACCTCCTGAAGGTCATATTGTCCAGCAATGTTTAAAACTCCCGACCCACACACACTAGACACTCAGTCATCACATCAGTAACAGGTGGATATTTGTTGAGGTGATACGTTATTTCCAAACAATCACCTTGTACAGAAGGTATTGGAGTTGTTAGGTCGTATCCAGTACAATGTCACAATGCCTTAGAATGAATGCGATCGAATTTCATAAGATCGCATGTTGAGGCAATGGTGAAAATTTGACATCCAAGTTTACTTCTGACACAATCAACGCAAAAGCAACAAAAAGGACGACTAATCTGCACCACATTCTGTTGTGGAAGTGTATTTAAGCAAAATCAATGAGTTATTTGCATTTGGACATTATACTGGCGATATGCGAAGAGAATGTCATTCCTTTGGTCAACGTATATGACAGGACATTTGATGTGGAAACAAATTTGATTCCGTTTTTGACTAAATACAATTCTGTATTATGAGGGTAAACAAAAAACATGGCAACTTACTTTGTACGATATATTTCAAACCCCATTTACAACACCATCTATGAACTATGCTGGGACACTTTTGTACAGATTCCAGTAGAAATGGAAAATGACCAGAGCGTCTCCAAAAGGCCCTTCATCCACTTGAGAAGCATCACCCATTAACATGGAACTTATCACACTTGAACATCCCACATCAGTCCAAGCTGTTGCAGCTTATATAGCAGGCATTGTCTCTATACCATGTCATAACCTATATCAATATCAGAATACACACATAATGAATTCCTCATTAGCAACAGCCATTACATATAGGTCTAAACGGAATCCGTGAACCATACTGATGTCGAGTAAGTAACTGATCACGCTCAAGGGCTCCATAATTCTACATACACTAGAAGTACGTCATATTTTTCTGTAAGAAGTTGCTTTTAAGGACCCTTTCCTCGCTTTAGAATTGAAACAACACGTGCATGTTTCGGAGAACTTGGTAACTTTAAAAAAAGAGCCAAGTTAATTCAACAGATCCCGGATATCTTCAAGGGAAGAATCTAGCAATTGTTCAAAAAGCATTCATAACATAATTCTTCTGCACCATGGGACTTTTTTTCCTCTTGTTAAAATCTGAATCAAAATTGGACAATGCAGTAGCTATGCAAGGTTAATTGTTTTCTCAGTATCAGCTTTTATTCTTTTGTCCAAAATACTTTCTCAACAAATAGCTTTTGGGAATTGTTCGGCCAAAGTATTGTGTTTCGCATCATTGGTTCCTGCCTGTCTATGTTGGCCGAATACAGCAGGGGGCGTGTTATAATTGAATTGAACCTTTTTTTCAAAATTGACGATAGTGGTCTGGCATACTTATTTCAGAAACATAACTGCGCTAAATACTCCTTTTGCTGAACTCACTCACCGTTGAAATTCTGAACGTTTATTTTATGAAATTCAGCCAAATCTTATGGCAATAAAGTATCACAAATGTGATTTAACCAAGCTTTGAGAATGTTGTCTTAAAACTTTCCAGGCGTTTTACCAATACATGTCAGTAGTAGCTATTATCTCAGGAGTAACGTTAGCATTGACAGTAGAACTATCTAAACAGTAAAGACTGGGAAGTTATCACTACCCCGAACGTCATCAGGAGGTATATGCTCGTATATCCCTAAAGTAAACACTGGGAAGTTATCACTACCCCGAGCGTCATCAGGAATTATATGCTCGTGTATCCCTAAAGTAAAGACTGGGAAGTTATCACTACCCCGAGCGTCATCAGGAATTATATCCTCGTATATCCCTAAAGTAAAGACTAGGAAGTTATCACTACCCCGAGCGTCATCAGGAGTTATATCCTCGTATATCCCTGAAGTAAAGACTGGGAAGTTATCACTACCCCGAGCGTCATCAGGAATTATATACTCGTATATCCCACAAGCTTTCTACGAGTTTTGCCACGTGCAGTCAGACTTGGAGCATTCCATTGCAATATAACGAGAAGCATTAGTCATCCTTCCATTTGGTCTTGTTTGTGTGAAGTGAACTTTTTATAGGAACATGAATATCAATGTAGCAGTATGCTTGTAAATAGAATATTGTTAGATTTTAAAGCATCATTATAGTAAACTAACATCAATTAAATTAATAAGCTAAACCTAAATATTTAACATTTATTTCCCTAAATGTTAACTTCAGCACTTGCACAAGTGTACTAATTCATAGGCAAGCTAGTTTCTGTATATAGCTTGGGTAGTTCAGCCATTTCTTTATTAGGTTCATGGTTTGTCACTGGTTAGGTGCTTATTATTATCTAGCTTTTTGCATGATCTATGCAATCACGTGAACAGTCTGGCCGCAGCACACGCGCCCCCTCCCTTCAGGGATTTTCAGGACACGCTCCCCTTCCCTTCAGAGCCCTTCAGGACACGCTCCCCCTCCCTTCAGGGACCTACAGCACACACTCACACTCCCTTCAGGGCCCTTCAGGACACACTCCCCCTCCCTTCAGAGCCCTTCAGGACACACTCCCCCTCCCTTCAGGGACCTTCAGGACATACTCACCTTCCCTTCAGGGACCTTCAGCACACGCTCACCCTCCCTTCAGGGACCTTCAGGACACGCTCCCCCTCCCTTCAGGGCCCTTCAGCACACACTCACCCTCCCTTCAGGGCCCTTGAGGGCCCTTCAGGACACGCTCCGCCTCCCTTCAGGGACCTTCAGGACACGCTCCCCCTCCCTTCAGGGACCTTCAGGACACGCTCCCCCTCCCTTCAGGGACCTTCAGGACACGCTCCCCCTCCCTTTAGGGACCTTCAGCACACACTCCCCCTCCCTTCAGGGCCCTTCAGGACACACTCCCCCTCCCTTCAGGGCCGACTATTTGTTTGAATGAAGCGCCTTTCAGCAAGCAAATCATACTAAAAGGACAATTTTATATCTTCATGTACGCGTGACGAGGTGTCTGTGACAACAGTATTCGCACCTGGCGCATAAACAGCTATAACAGTAGTGTTGTGTTGATCTTGGAACCCAAACACCATTAACACTGCCATAGCACTACCATTACTGCTGCCTTCAAGTAATATTGTCAGTATAAATGTCAACCCTCTTGTTGGGGTTAAATGCCTTGCTATAGGTTCTTAGATGTGAAGTATTGACGTCCTTCGGTGATTTATACAGAATAGAGATAAAATGTGATGACATATGTCAATTTGGTGATCCATGTGAAAATGCATATCTTTATTAATGAAAGTGTCCATTGTACGTCCACCAAAGAAAAACTATGTTACTAATAATTTGGGACATTTTACAGAACGCCGTGAACAAAAATGTTAATTTAGATTTAAATTTGATGTTAAACGGAAATGAATGTTTGTTCATTATTGAAAATCAACACATCTTTAAAGCAGTGCAAATGTTGAGAAGTTATACAAAGAGATTTGGGTAACACTTTAATGTACATATACTAGTCTATCTCTCTTGTACATTTCTTGTTATCTTTACACTCATCTTCTTTTCTGTTTTCCTTGTATATGATTTACTGTACAAGCTTTGTAAATACCATGGAGAGGGAGTCCTAAGTTGGATAACTTGTTCCCAATCCATTTCAATCTGAATAAAATATGTTGAAATCAAACACCATTAACACTGCCATAGCACTACCATTACTGCTGCCTTCAAGTAGGATTGTCAGTATAAATGTCAACCCTTTTGTTGGGGTTAAATGCCTTGCTATAGGTTCTTAGATGTGAAGTGCTTAATTCAATGACGTCCTTCGGCTCCAGAAATTCAAACCACGAAACATCCCCTCTGACATTGTCTCCTAGTTTTACATTAAGCACCAGGCGCAGAATTCTAAGATCCAACATCCGCCTGAACAATGTCCTTTCTCCCCTAACACCATGTGTAGCCCAGCATAGCATTCTAATTAAAGTTTTTATCTTCCCCTTACTGGCTCGACATTTGTACTTGAAATCCTTTAAAATAGCTTTCATTCACGTAAAGCCAAAGTACAATTTGTAGTATCAAACACTACTATGGGCTGTGGTTGTCCATCCAACCGTCTTGTATCAATTCAGAAACATCCATGGGCTTTCCGTCAACCATCAATTCAACCTTCAAGTGTTGAGACTGACCCCTCTTTCAACCAACATCATGCCGGCAAACCGAGTGTTCACACATCTAGCCGTGCTCGTGGGTTTCGCCAAAATGATACAGTCTGTGATATATACTGCTTCTGGATCGCGTCTCACATGAAGCTAAGACGTCATGTGGTGTAACTAAAGTGTTGTTAAGACCAGTTAAACAACACAGTAACTTGTTTCGTATGTGCTCCCCCCGTTATGCAGTGTCAGCACTCTTCTCCGCAACAGAATCCAATCGACGGGTTAAAAGGGGCTCTAATTTGGCGCTAGTTTCATCTTTATCGTCCTCCATAGATACAGGGTTCATCTCAATATCAGCCTCCGTGTGTTGCTTGATTTGATTGGTCTTTTTTAATGCAGCTATTGGAATAGACAGCAGACTAGCCACAATAAGGGCAGCACCTGCAACAAAAGTGCCGAATTATAGTTCACTGATATTGCGTTTTGCATATACAGCTCTATGTGTGTTCTAGATCTTAAAGGCGGCACAGATGGCCCAGTCGTCTAAGGCGCCGCGATTCGCCGCGCAAAGATGCGTTGGTTGTTTAACGCGGCACTCAGCAATATTCCAGCTATATGAGAGGTCTGTAAATAATCGAGTCTGGACCAGACAATCCAGTGATTGACATCATGAGCATCGATCCACGCAATTGGGATACGATACCGAGCGAGACAGAAGATCTTTAGTATGTTGTTGTTTCTTGTTTTATTCTTATTAACATCTATGATGTCACTCATATGTTTCTTTCGCTGTGCAGAGTTGCCTCCCTTGGGCACGCCAGAAACCTATGATTGTGGGTTCGAATCCCGGTTCGCCCCGATTATGTTTCTAGGTTTGTCAGCACCATACCCATGCTCGTGGGTTTCACCGAAGTGGTAAACATCAGAGACATGCATCACTTCGGGCTTTCCCCCCACATAAAGCTGACAAGCCGTGATATAACTGGAATACTGTTAAAATACTCACTCACTCACTCACTATATCTCAAAAGGTCACAAAATCAAATAAAACTAATTCGGAAAGAGCCTCATGTTCCGATTCCTAAAGACACCTGAACACAAGTAGCTGACATCACAGCTCCCCGAGACTCACCTGAACACTAGTAGCTGACATCACAGCACCCCGAGACTCACCTGAACACAAGTAGCTGACATCATAGCACCCCGAGACTCACCTGAACACAAGTAGCTGACATCATAGCTCACCGAGACTCACCTGAACACAAGTACCTGACATCATAGCTCTCCGAGACTCACCTGAACACAAGTAGCTGACATCACAGCTCCCCGAGACTCACCTGAACACTAGTAGCTGACATCATAGCTCTCCGAGACTCACCTGAACACAAGTACCTAACATCACAGCTCCCCGAGACTCACCTGAACACAAGTAGCTGACATCACAGCTCCCCGAGACTCACCTGAAGACAAGTAGCAGACATCATAGCTCCCCGAGACTCACCTGAACACAAGTACCTGACATCATAGCTCTCCGAGACTCACCTGAACACTAGAGGCTGACATCACAGCTCCCCGAGACTCACCTGAACACTAGTAGCTGACATCATAGCTCTCCGAGACTCACCTGAACACAAGTACCTAACATCACAGCTCCCCGAGACTCACCTGAACACAAGTAGCTGACATCACAGCTCCCCGAGACTCACCTGAAGACAAGTAGCAGACATCATAGCTCCCCGAGACTCACCTGAACCCAAGTACCTGACATCATAGCTCTCCGAGACTCACCTGAACACTAGAGGCTGACATCACAGCTCCCCGAGACTCACCTGAACACTAGTAGCTGACATCATAGCTCTCCGAGACTCACCTGAACACAAGTACCTAACATCACAGCTCCCCGAGACTCACCTGAACACAAGTAGCTGACATCACAGCTCCCCGAGACTCACCTGAAGACAAGTAGCAGACATCATAGCTCCCCGAGACTCACCTGAACACAAGTAGCTGACATCATAGCTCCCCGAGGCGTCCAGCACCATACCTGCAGGGTAAAAGTCACTGAAGGATACAAAGAATGAAAATCCATCTGCCGGTCAGCTGATCAAAATTCATTCAAGTTTTAGTAACACTGTATTCTCAGCAATACTATAAACAAACGTGTACATTAAACGTGTACAGAAATGTGTGCTTATCGAAACAGTATGCGAAGTTCAAGAGTGTAAGTTTATGGTATACATTCAATTATAAATCACATATATAAGTGAAAACATACAGCATTACTCCATTGATGAGTATGGTTATCAGTAAGACTTTCAGAGTCAACACACCTGCAAATGGAGGTCCTAGCAGTAGCGATAGTCCAACAAAGAGATTCTTGACTCCATATCCAGTTGCCAGCCGTTTCACTCCAACTAGATCCGCGGTGATAGGGTTGAACAAAGCTATTGGTCCTCCAGTATAAATGCCATACAAACACGAAAATATGACTTGTTGTAAATAAGTGTCAGAAAACAATGTAAACACCATGATGACCACACCAGCAACACCGACTGTGCCCATGTGCAGAATCAGTGAGTCAATTGCAGGATCATTGGCAGCAAACCCACCCAGCACTCGAGCGATCATGCTTGAAATTCCCATGGCTGTAAATAACATGGCCGACCTCTGTTGGCTTGTTCCCTTTGATTCCACATAATTGGGGAGATGTATCTGGAAAGCGGATTCCCCAAAACCCCATGTTGCGAAGGATATGGCATACAAAAGGAAACTAACGTTGGACAGTATTTGTCCAAATTCATATATAATCTCCCTGAATCGATAGAAAAAGCAGCTTACTATTTGCCTATTTGTGTTGTCTTCCTCCTGCAAAATGTTATCACTTGTTGATGATCTCTGATTTTCGAATGGCGATGGTCTCATGAGCATTCCACACACACATGAATTGGCTCCAACACTGCCCAGTATAAGAAACATTCCACTTAAACCGAAAGTGTCCAACAGAAGACGCACTAGTGGTGCGCCAATCAGCATTCCCCACCCTGCACCGGACGTCTGAATCCCGGCCGCTAGAGGGCGATACTTGACGAAGTAATGACCGGTGATTACAATGGCTGCTGTCTCCATGAAACTCATCCCAAGACCTGAAATGAGAGTTAACAAATCAAGGCATCACACTAGTAAGTCTCCTGTTCAGTGATTCTGTATGCTGTATTAAAAATATATTTTACTTTGAATCTTGTAATTTATGTTTGACACCAATATCTCACCAACAACGACGCCATAGGATGCAATGAGCATGTTGATAGAGTTGGCGAAAGAGGCGCCAACCATGCCGGCCAGAATCAATATTCCTCCAATGATGGACGAGAGGCGACAACCCAGCAAATTTACAAGTGAACTTGTGATTGGTCCTGTAAAGATAAGAACATTCCGTTCAAGGGTAAGACGGTAGTGTCTGTGTAAGCATGTATACCACGTAAGTCATTGTGTGTGAAATGTGTAACTATTTTGCCAAATCAATGTGGCTTAAACTCGTGGAAGTGTTCCTTTGTGAATTTTTCTACACTCCAAAAACGTATTTACCCGTCAGCATCACAGTTCCTAACAACGAGGACCCAACCCACGACGTCTTAACGACTCCCTCTTCCATTTCCTCCAATACAGCTGTTATGATGACGCCGGTAGAATAGTACAACATGCCCGCGATGACCACCTGTAGCCAGCTGACGGTCAGAATCACCCATGCATAACCACGGTCGATACTCCCGTTAGTTGACATCTGAAAACAGGTATTGTAAAAGCATGACCTCTTTGCGAAAACAGGATTTACAGATGACAGAAATACGAGGTCAAAAACGTATAAGGCACAGTTTTTAAAAATGTAAGATTTACAATTTAGCATCTGAAGATAAAATTAGAGATGATGGTTCTTGCTGACAATCCTCAGGTCATCCTCATAGTGTCCCACAGGCCAATATTATTGGGTGTTCTGCTGGATGACAAAATACAACAGCAGCCTACCCTCACACAATGTTCTGTAGGGCGGCATTACATCACAATACAACACCAGTCTACCCTTATACAATGTTCTGTAGGGCGGCATTACATCACAATACAACACCAGCCTGCCCTTATGCAATGTTCTGTAGGGCGGCATTACATCACAATACAACACCAGTCTACCCTTACACAATGTTCTGTAGGGTGGCATTTCATCACAATACAACACCAGCCTACCCTAAGGCAATAGTCTGTCGGGTGGCATAACATCACAATACAACACCAGCCTACCCTAAGGCAATAGTCTGTAGGGTGGCATTACATCACAATACAACACCAGCCTACCCTAAGGCAATAGTCTGTAGGGTGGCATTACATTACAATACAACACCAGCCTACCCTAAGGCAATAGTCTGTAGGGTGGCATTACATCACAATACAACACCAGCCTATCATTATACAATGTTCCGTATGATGGCATTACATCACAATACAACACCAGCCTACCCTAAGGCAATAGTCTGTAGGGTGGCAATACATCACAATACAATACCAGCTTAACCTTATAAAATTATCCGTAGGGTGTCATTATGTAAGCAGGGCAATGTGGTTGGGCGTGTTTAATGAGCTTGTTTTGTTAGGGTGGTGAGCATTTTAGGGTAATTATGGAGTAGGGTGGTGAGCGTGTTGGGTAGGTACGGAATAGTGTATTGGAAGAGGGAAGTGAGCGTGTTGGGTAGCTATGGAATAGTGTTTTGGAAGAGGGTAGGCAGCTTGTTGGGTAGCTATGGAATAGTGTGTTGGGAGAGGGAGGGGAGCGTGTTGGGTAGCTATGGAATAGTGTGTTGGAAAAGGGTGGGGAGTGTGTTGGGTAGCTATGGAAAAGTGTGTTGGGAGAGGGAGGGGAGCGTGTTGGGTAGCTATGGAATAGTGTGTTGGGAGAGGGTGGTGAGCGTGTTGGGAAGCTATGGAATAGTGTGTTGGGAGAGGGAGGGGAGCGTGTTGGGTAGCTATGGAATAGAGTGTTGGAGAAGGGTGGGGAGTGTGTTTGGTAACTATGGAATAGTGTGTTGGGAGAGGGAGGGGAGCGTGTTGGGTAGCTATGATACAGTGTGTTGGAGAAGGGTGGGGAGTGTGTTGGGTAGCTATGGAATAGTGTGTTGGAGAAGGGTGGTGAGCGTGTTGGGTAGCTATGGAAAAGTGTGTTGGGAGAGGGAGGGGAGCGTGTTGGGTAGCTATGGAATAGTGTGTTGGGAGAGGGTGGGGAGCGTGTTGGGTACCAATGGAATAGTGTGTTGGGAGAGGGTGGTGAGCGTGTTGGGAAGCTATGGAATAGTGTGTTGGGAGAGGGAGGGGAGCGTGTTGGGTAGCTATGGAATAGAGTGTTGGAGAAGGGTGGGGAGTGTGTTTGGTAGCTATGGAATAGTGTGTTGGGAGAGGGTGGGGAGCGTGTTGGGTAGCTATGGAATAGAGTGTTGGAGAAGGGTGGGGAGTGTGTTTGGTAACTATGGAATAGTGTGTTGGGAGAGGGAGGGGAGCGTGTTGGGTAGCTATGGAATAGTGTGTTTGGAGAGGGAGGGGAGCGTGTTGGGTAGCTATGGAATAGAGTGTTGGAGAAGGGTGGGGAGTGTGTTTGGTAACTATGGAATAGTGTGTTGGGAGAGGGAGGGGAGCGTGTTGGGTAGCTATGGAATAGTGTGTTGGAGAAGGGTGGGGAGCGTGTTTGGTAGCTATGGAACAGTGTGTTGGGAGAGGGTGGTGAGCGTGTTGGGTAGCTATGGAATAATGTGTTGGGAGAAGGATGGGGAGTGTGTTGGGTAGCTATGGAATAGTGTGTTGGAAGAGGGTAGGCAGCTTGTTTGGTAGCTATGGAATAGTGTTTTGGAAGAGGGAGGGGAGCGTGTTGGGTAGCTGTGGAATAGTGTGTTGGGAGAGGGTGGGGAGTGTGTTGGGTAGCTATGGAATAATGTGTTGGAAGAGGGTGGTTAGCGTGTTGGGTAGCTATGGAATAGTGTGTTGGAAGAGGGTGGTTAGCGTGTTGGGTAGCTATGGAATAGTGTGTTGGGAGAGGGTGGGGAGTGTGTTGGGTAGCTATGGAATAGTGTGTTGGGAGAGAGTGGGGAGCGTGTTGAGTGGCTATGGAATAGTGTGTTGGAAGAGGGTTAGGAGAGTGTTGGGTAGCTATTGTGTTGGGAGAAGGTAGGGAGCGTGTTGAGTGGCTATGGAATAGTGTGTTGGGAGAGGGTTGGGAGAGTGTTGGGTAGCTATTGTGTTGGGAGAAGGTAGGGAGCGTGTTTGGTAGCTATGGAATAGTGTGTTGGGAGAGGGTGGGGAGCGTGTTGGGTACCAATGGAATAGTGTGTTGGAGAAGGGTTGGGAGAGTGTTTGGTAGCTATGGAATAGTGTGTTGGGAGAGGGTAGGCAGCTTGTTGGGTAGCTATGGAATAGTGTTTTGGAAGAGGGAGGGGAGCGTGTTGGGTAGCTGTGGAATAGTGTGTTGGAAGAGGGTGGTTAGCGTGTTGGGTAGCTATGGAATAGTGTGTTGGGGGAGGGTGGGGAGCTTGTTGGGTACCAATGGAATAGTGTGTTGGGAGAGGGTGGGGAGCGTGTTGGGTACCAATGGAATAGTGTGTTGAAGAAGGGTTGGGAGAGTGTTTGGTAGCTATGGAATAGTGTGTTGGGAGAGGGTGGGGAGCTTGTTGGGTACCAATGGAATAGTGTGTTGGAGAAGGGTGGGGAGTGTGTTGGGTAGCTATGGAATAGTGTGTTGGGAGAGGGTGGGGAGCTTGTTGGGTACCAATGGAATAGTGTGTTGGAGAAGGGTGGGGAGTGTGTTGGGTAGCTATGGAATAGTGTGTTGGGAGAGGGTGGGCAGCTTGTTGGGTAGCTATGGAATAGTGTGTTGGAAGGGGTGGGGAGCGTGTTGGGTAGCTATGGAACAGTGTGTTGGGAGAGGGTGGGGAGCTTGTTGGGTACCAATGGAATAGTGTGTTTGAGAAGGGTTGGGAGAGTGTTGGGTAGCTATGGAATAATGTGTTGGAAGAGGGTCGGGAACGTGTTGGGTAGCTATGGAATAGTGTGTTGGAAGGGGTGGGGAGCGTGTTGGGTAGCTATGGAACAGTGTGTTGGAAGAGGGTGGGGAGTGTGTTGGGTAGCTATGGAACAGTGTGTTGGGGGAGGGTGGTGAGCGTGTTGGGTAGCTATGGAACAGTGTGTTGGAAGGGGTGGGGAGCGTGTTGGGTAGCTATGGAACAGTGTGTTGGGGGAGGGTGGTGAGCGTGTTGGGTAGCTATGGAACAGTGTGTTGGAAGGGGTGGGGAGTGTGTTGGTAGCTATGGAACAGTGTGTTGGAAGAGGGTGGGGAGCGTGTTTGGTAGCTATGGAACAGTGTGTTGGGGGAGGGTGGTGAGCGTGTTGGGTAGCTATGGAACAGTGTGTTGGAAGGGGTGGGGAGTGTGTTGGGTAGCTATGGAACAGTGTGTTGGAAGAGGGTGGGGAGCGTGTTTGGTAGCTATGGAACAGTGTGTTGGGGGAGGGTGGTGAGCGTGTTGGGTAGCTATGGAACAGTGTGTTGGAAGAGGGGGGTGAAGAAGTTTGAGAGGCATAACACATGACAATGATACATTTCTTCGTTATATATTATTGATATTCTTTTACCGTTTTTTTTTCTATTTTCAGAGACAATCATCTGCACTGCCTTGACAATTTGAATCCAGTCCTAAGAAGAACCTGAGATTGTTTATACGTGTAACTCATGCATGGCCTTTAACCGACCACATCGAGGGGAATACGAGTGTTGCTGTCCAGTGACGGGGTGCATTACACCGTGCGCTGTTAGGAAACAACCTTACATCAGTAGGTTTATTTTTATTAATCTCATTAGAAGCACAATGTATGTTGTTTTTTAAATTTGATCTACTTCTAACAAAGTAGCAGGTTGAAGTTTGAACACATATATTATCAAGCTCTAATACCATCGAATACTTTCCGTTAAATCACCCCTTCAAGTTGTGTGCTCTTTGTTTGTAGGGGAAAAAAGATGACCACAAGAAATATCGTTCCCGGAAAAGCACATCTCCAAAGTCCTGACACTACATTGATGAGCGCCACACCTACAGGTCTACAAGCTGCTCTGAACACTGCTACTCATTGTGCAACTGATTGGGGATTATCTGACAGACAGACAGACAGACAGACAGACAGACAGACAGACAGACAGACAGACAGATATTTTATTGAAGCCTCATCTCAACTTTTGATATATAAAACGTGGACAGGTGTAACATGACATTTTACATTTTCCATGCGGATTACGGGAGACTGTTTTACGCATAAAAGGAAACAAACTACAAACAATGGGTATTAGATAAACCCGTTAACAATAACATTGAAATTCATACCAAGTGGGGATAAACAAATTGGTAGCACGTCTTTTGAGGATATTATGGCTGTTTTGGCAGTTAAAAAGGAAAGTTCAGGGTATAACAGTAGAAACCTAACCTTTATCGTTAAACATTAAACCTTCTTCAAAATGAGCACACTTCTTAAAAAGGTTAAAACGTTCAACATAGTAAAGTGGAAATGCAGTAAAAAGGGACATTCATCTTCAATAAAATATTTACAATAGAAACAGATTCTTTCACATAAAGGACATCCATCATATCTGCCAGTTTCAACTTTTAGAGGAGCTACACCGCATTTTAAAAGGGCCAGTGCCCTCCTATATGGACGAGACGAGACGAGACGAGACAACCAAATTCATATTTAAAAGTAAATGGTTCTTAGTTTGTTACCCCCCCCCCCCCCCCCCCCCCCCCTTCCAGTTTTACTTCCTGCTTGCGACATTTCATTGTACATAATCACTACAACTAACATCAGCACTATATAAGAAATATGATAATCAGCGTTTATGTGTTTTTTCTTAAATGAGCTAGATTAAGATCACAAAGTTTGACATGAACTCTATAATCTCTAAGTGTTCTGTTAAAGGCAAGCCTTAAATATAAAATAAATAAGCTTCAGTGCAAAATTTGGCATTGTTTATTAATTATTATATACTTCAGTGTGAAAGACTGAGTTTTCTGAAGTTGAGAAAAGTGATATTTTCATTGCAATGAACATAACCCTTGATATTTCACTGCAATGAACATTACTCCTGATATTTCACTGCAGCGAACATAATACTTCAACGGAACTTTTGTCATACAAGAGTTACCTCCCCTTAAATTGTCTCCCTTTATCGCCTGTGTCGAGCCCGTACACAAACGTCCCTTTTACGTTAATTCCACATTGACAAGACAAAAAAAATGACAGATGGTCATTTATGGAGTTAATATCACTTCTTGCCATTTGTTATTCTCTCGAAAATGCTTCGTTAAGAACTGTAAATGTCTCATTTAACTCGTCAATTCAGACTGTTCGTTTCGCAAAGCGCACTAATACAAGTATTTGGGGGCGCTTTGCATATTGCGTTACATAATTTTATAGATATGCTACTACAACTGCGACAGTGAGGTGCATTTATACATCAAAGTGACCGTATCGCTAGCACTCAGTTGGGCTTCGATGACAGCACGTGGAGCCGCACAACCAATGTAAACAAAGGATAACTACGCAAAACAAGTAGACTTTCACATATTAGGATACTTTCTTAATGAACTGTATTCATTCTGTGACATTTGTTTATGAAAATGTGTAGACTTGTCAAACATGAAACGGATGAAAAGCATATGCAATATCGTGAATGGACTGTGAAAGATGTGACGAATCGTCCCATGGCGCTGGCCTGTGGCTGGCTGCCGGCCGCATGGAACCCTGGGTAGGAGAGTGAGTTTGACCAGCATGTATTTTTTCGCTTCCAACAGCGGTCTCCTAGTTTTCAAGAATATTTTTTGTTAAAGTTGATTTTGTATATAATCATATCCAAATGTACGATAAAGAATTTTCGAGACCCTAAATATGTTTTGATACTTTTATCTATTCTTTAATTTTTTTCAAATGAGAAACTACTTTTTAAGTCTTAAATACAAGGGTGGTGAACCGTCCCTGTGTCCCTGTATCCCAACACGTAGGGAGAATTTACGTTTCAAGGTTTTACCCCGGTACGACAGGGGTTGCTGCTGTCCCCTGCATCGGATTCAGGGATAGGATTTATAATGCCCTCAGTCCAGCTGGAGGGTACGTCACCAAACTCAAAACACGTAGAAAACCGTCTATGTAGGAAGTTAAAACAAGTGTCATTTTTAAAAACACCTGCAGGTACATTATCAAAACCCGGTGATTTTCCCAATGTTGCTTGAATCACAGCACATGTCACCTCCAGAGTTATTTGGGTATTAAATTCACTGTCCCCTTCGTGTTCACTGTGTGGGACTGACTGGTCTGAGTTAGCACTAGCACAAGTTAGAAGGTCACTATAAGCTGTTCGCCACGTCACTACCATATAGATTGTTTTCATCCTGTCACAGCTAACGCCTACTCGACATATTCTCTTCCAAACATCAGGTTTGTTAGTCTGTCTTACAGACCCTGATACAAATATATATCAAATACAGCCCATGCAAGTCTATAATGTTTGGCAAGTCTGAAAATGAAGAGAGTCACTGGGCTCCTTTTTATAATATTTTTATTAAGATAACTGAACAACTGTTTTTTTATGTACGATATGTTCATTTCAGAGACTAGATGTTAGTCTACAGGTTTGTTTGAATCGCACCTATCATCCAGCTCCTGCAGTACGCCTTGTGTGGTCACATTTACCCTCTGCGCCTGTCTTTCGTTTTGATACATACACAAGTTTCAACCCGTGTCTACGTGGGCCCCTACTTTTACACCACACATCTTCAGCTTCACACGTCATTCCAAAGTCTAGAAAGTTTATCATTCCACCACCCTTTCTTTACTCTATGTCTTTTCGTCTCTGATCGTGTAGTGATGTTTTGGTACATTGTGCTCCATCTCGGCTCGAACTGTATCTGTGAATATGTCATATATCGGCTGTTTATATCATGTTGTTCTTTGGTTGTGTGAGATAAATTGTTTAGTGCCAAACTTAAAGTTTCTTAACATGACTCTGATGACAGAAAGTTTTTCGGCACCTTAGACGTGTCACATTTAGTGATGGTAATATTCTCAATGCTGTCACATGGCAATATGGTATCGCTGTTGGCAATAGGCAGCTCAGTTGTCCGGGCGGAATAGAGTGGTCTAGCTTCAGCACAGATGCGGCACTAGTCAAGCCAAAACAATCTGTCGCCTCCACGAAAGAATCGGGGCGTATAACTATAAAGTCGGAGAAGCCCAGTACTTGTTCATATGGACACACACAATAGTCTACTCCCGACAGACCTCTAGAAGACACATAAGTATAGTCATATAGTATCGTCGTTATTATTCTTCCATTCAATACACAACAGATGGCACTGATAAGGAAGTCTGTTAGATAGTTAGTTACACTTTCTAACACAACATATTTCGGTACAAAAGTCAACACCTTCCACACAATCTGTAAGGTTCCCACATCTACTATCAAGGTCACCACATGTAAAAGTTACGCCAGGTTGATAGTAATGGTAAATATGTAGCAGAAGTGTGTTGAAAAAGTTGTTTGCATTTGCGTGGCGCGTTGAATTTTCAGGGGCCAGATGACAAAGACAGGCTTTTAATCCCTTGAGGATTAATTTCAAACATGAAATATCTTCATACAAATTGGCCGAATACCCAACGTTAAAATTATCTAATAAAGTATATTTCATTAAAAAGATTCCACCAGATCCACACTTCGAATTTGCATGGGGCAAAGTTTCATTGTTACCAAACCACGAATAACCATCCAAGTTTATTTCGTTTGTGGAAGTGATGTGTTTCTCTGCCAGTTCAGTGATATCAATGTCACGTGATAGTAAACATGTTGACCGCAGTGTAGGATTTTTAGAACTTGACCAAGAAAATTCCCAAACCCACACTTCACCTAATATCGATTCGTACTACTTTGTTGTCATGTCCCCCGGAGTGACCTCTGCTGGAGAATCCTCTGTGCTGATTGGTTGAGGGCGACCTGTCGTAGTCACGTGGTCCTTAAATTGTTTTGTAAACACCGCCACGTGGGTTGCCTTCAGCTCGGTAATGACGGCCCCTGTGTTGGGGCGTGTGTTGTCGTTGTTGTTTCAGGCGTGTATGTCGTGCTCGGGATTGGGTCGGTGACGGGTCAATCGATATATATTGGAATTCAACAATTTTCTCATCTTTCTGTTTTTTAAGTTCCAGATTCAGATGTGTTTTGTTTTCATCCTCTACTGATGTTCTTTTCTTCTGATGATCGATGGTGAGTGAACAACTTCAGGATCGGATAAATCGTCGATCGTCGAGCTGAACGGGTAACAGTGATGATTGCATCTCCTCGCCTTTACACGAAAGAAATTGCTTATTTTCTTTCACAGATTATTTAAACATATCGGACTAGATTCAAAGGCGGTAACTTCGATGACTACGGTAACAACGTGTACAAATATAATTCAGAAAATGAACTTTGCCAGAGACATTCTACCAAAAATCTCCTCATTACATCTAAAGAATGTCCTGAATGTGGCAGACATACCTCTGATTATAAAAGAGAGAAACTTTTTCACTTATTTTATCAATTATCGAAACGAATTCTCCTCCACCCTCATTGACAAACTGGATTTTGAAACTTCTTTGAGTGGCATTTATGTTGAAAGCTATGATCAAATTTAACTTCTGGAAAAGAATGAGATGTTAACACTAATACAAGGGTTCGTTGCAACACAATCTGGAATAATGAACCAGCGTACTTTCGAAAGCATGTCAAATGTTCTGTGAATATATCTTAAATTGTTATTCATACTTTACATCTGTTGTATCGAAAAACCTCTCACTTGTGTACATATCTGATAATGAATATATATTTATACACCTTTTGTTAATAACGCGCCTTTCTATGTAAATAATAGCAACATGAATTTGCTCTGAGAAATATCACAATGTGGCTAATTTACACATGGGAGAATAGACTATCTGAAAGAGCGAACAGAGCACAAAGAAATGAGTTGACTAACTATATATGGGTCAAGTGAAATGGAATAGTATCCAACCGTAATCCCTGTGCACTTCTCTCTATGTAAAAGACAACGATCCCTACCTCGGACACTCCACAGATCAGCGGGCAGTGTATGGCCAAACAGGAGACGTGTCCTTTGTGTCAACCCCAGCTCCGCGAGGGCGTCTCTGACCTACAAACAGCTGCACGTCAAGCCCCACTGCCCTCGCCAGTCACACATCACTGATCATTATGAATTATTATAAACAGAATAGTTCATTTCCCTTCAAACCATCGGATTTCTGAATACGTTATGTTAATAACCACTCACCGGGACACAGTATGAAAACAGATGAAACCATTTTGTTAATGGAGTATATGCAATATACAATATGCAAAAACTATATGAAATATCTTCCCAAGGTTTTCTCACTTTCCCGGCAGGTATTGTTCTCATGCAAAAGTCTCCAGACCGAAATTCCCAGACACCATTCCTGGAATGAGTGACTCCCCCTACAGCGCCGTGAGTGAGTGAGTGAGTGAGTGAGTGAGTGAGTGAGTGAGTGAGTGAGTGAGTGAGTGAGTGAGTGAGTGAGTGAGTGAGTGAGTGAGTGAGTGAGTGAGTGAGTGAGTGAGTGAGTGAGTGAGTGAGTGAGTGAGTGAGTGAGTGAGTGAGTGAGTGAGTGAGTGAGTGAGTGAGTGAGTGAGTGAGTGAGTGAGTGAGTGAGTGAGTGAGTGAGTGAGTGAGTGAGTGAGTGAGTGAGTGAGTGAGTGAGTGAGTGAGTGAGTGAGTGAGTGAGTGAGTGAGTGAGTGAGTGAGTGAGTGAGTGAGTGAGTGAGTGAGTGAGTGAGTGAGTGAGTGAGTGAGTGAGTGAGTGAGTGAGTGAGTGAGTGAGTGAGTGAGTGAGTGAGTGAGTGAGTGAGTGAGTGAGTGAGTGAGTGAGTGAGTGAGTGAGTGAGTGAGTGAGTGAGTGAGTGAGTGAGTGAGTGAGTGAGTGAGTGAGTGAGTGAGTGAGTGAGTGAGTGAGTGAGTGAGTGAGTGAGTGAGTGAGTGAGTGAGTGAGTGAGTGAGTGAGTGAGTGAGTGAGTGAGTGAGTGAGTGAGTGAGTGAGTGAGTGAGTGAGTGAGTGAGTGAGTGAGTGAGTGAGTGAGTGAGTGAGTGAGTGAGTGAGTGAGTGGCTGTCTGTCTGTCTGGCTGGCTGGTTGGCTGGCTGACTAAAAACAAACTGGTTTCCCATGTCTTTTCTATACATGGCGAAATATACAAAGGGTCACACGAGGTGTTGATGTCAACAATGTACGCGTGGAAGGTTGTAGCATGAAGATAATGCGAACGTGGGGATTAACTGGACTCGACCATTTGCTTGGCCTCTGATATTCCTGGTAACCATTAGAAAGTAGACTGGATTGTGTTTCTTATAAGTTAATTATGCTGTACAATACCATGCATTATGACCATTGTGGGTGTATAGGAAGCAAGGTCATAATGAATGGTATGATTAACTTACAAGAAACACAATCTTCTAAATGTGTCTTTACATTTACAGAAAATACAACTTTATGGTAATTCTAAATCCGACGTGATATAGTGGTATAGGATGGACAATTAACACAGAATGATACTTTAGTTTTATTTGATAGAGAGTGCAAGGTGTAAGGGTTTAAGTATTCCGTATTCGATTATTAAAATGTCTTGTCGAGGTCTGTATTGATAGGAAACATAATCTTCGTCAAATATCTACTAAACATCAGGTATAACCTGTACCGTATGTATCCGAGTAAGATATTACATCCCTCGGAGAATTACTCTGTACAATTTACCGTACATTTTCAAATATAACATATGTTGCTGTTATTCTGCGACTTGATTGTTTCAAAGCCGGCTCCCATTACAGCTAATCCCCAAACTCCAGCCCTGGCAGTATTTTGAATACACTTGAAAGTCCAACACAACACGGGGATGAACGGGGACTGCGTTCTAACATATTCAAGATAAATTAGTATGAGCATAAGTAAATATGTTATATATACGTGGAACCAATACATTAAAAAACATACATAATTTAACTTAGAATAAACATTGTTTGCCTATAGATAATCAGTTATGCATAATACATTGCCACTCTATATCTATATCACGTTAGTTTATTAAAGAAGTGGTCTTTGTCTTGTTTTCCTTTTTTGCATATACTGATGGTTGACAAATATAGGGGCGAACCTGGACATAACTACTTGTCTTTGTAGTTTGTTTACAAAGGCGTACGTCCGAGGTTACACCTTGTTTCAATGATAAAAATGACTTAGAGTTCTCGTGATTACCCCTGTATATTAAGGGACTGATTTCACAATGTTCTTTTTAATAGTCGCCAGGTTATTCAACACCAACCAAAGGATAAACCTGTTCATTCGTCGAGCCTCTGCTGTTCTCCTTGTCCGACCTTATGAGATCGCCAACGCTCGCTGAATGACTTGAAGATCCGCTCATTCCTATGTTTGCAGACTATGTTATCAAACTGACGGTAGAAGGATGTGGCGTCATGGTTCCAGGACAACCAACCACCAATATCACTAATTATACCTGTAATAATTCCATGTGCTTGTCAAGTAATTGACGGCAAAATACACAGGTGTGGGGCTATACCATGAAACATGGATGACAACAAGGGTGTAGCAATCGTATTATCCACGCAATCCGAAATCCGAAAATGCTTTCACTGCAGGGATACTTTTATATATTACTTTTTAACCACAGGGGTATTTCCAAAATTAGTAACGGCACAATATGAGCTTCCGTCGTTCTTTTTGTCTGTTTGTTTAGGTTGAAGAAATTAATTAACATGCAGCCTCTTTATTATCGAAGTTTTCAGAGATCACAGGTAACCAACCCATCGGTGTTCAGAAAGGCGTATAGACACTGCCTCAATGTTTATTGACGCTGTCCCTACACACGGTAGCCCAGTCTCCTGCTCAGTTGCATTGGCGACCAAATCGACTCACAGCATCTGTGGTGTAACTAAAGTGTTGTTGAACAACACAGTAACTTGTTTCGTATGTGCTCCCCCCGTTATGCAGTGTCAGCACTCTTCTCCCCAACAGAATCCAATCGACGGGTTAAAAGGGGCTCTAATTTGGCGCTAGTTTCATCTTTATCGTCCTCAATAGATACAGGGTTCACTGTCATCTCAATATCAGCCTCCGTGTGTTGCTTGATTTGATCGGTCTTTTTTAATGCAGCTATTGGAATAGACAACAGACTAGCCACAACAAGGGAGGCACCTGCAATAGAAATGCCGAATTATTGTTCACTGATCATGATATTGCGTTTTGCATATACAGCTCGATGTGTGTTCTTAATCTTAAAAGAGATCACAAAATCCAATAAAACTAATTCCAAAAGAGCCTCATGTTCCGATTCTTAAAGACACCTTAAGACAAGTAGCTCACATGACAGCTCCCCCAAACTCACCTGAACACAGAAGGTGACATCATAGCTCCCCGAGACTCATCTGAACACAAATAGATGACGTCACAGCTCCCAGAGACACACCTCAAGACAAGGAGCTGACATCATAGCTCCCCGAGACTCACCCGAATACAAGTAGCTGACATCACAGCTCCTTGAGACTCACCTGAACACAAGTAGCTGACATCACAGCACCCCGCGACTCACCTGAACACAAGTTGATGACATCACAGCTCCTGAGACTCACCTGAACACAAGCAGCTTACATCACAGCTCCCCGAGACTCACCTGAACACAAGCAGCTTACATCACAGCTCCCCGAGACTCACCTGAACACAAGTAGCTAACATCACAGCTCCCTGAGACTCACCTGAACACAAGTAGCTGACATCACAGCACCCCGCGACTCACCTGAACACAAGTAGATGACAGCTCACAGAGACACACCTCAACTCAAGACAAGGAGCTGACATCATAGCTCCCTGAGACTCATCTCAAGACAAGTAGATGACATCATAGCTCCCCGAGACTCACCTGAACACAAGTAGATGACATCACAGCTCCCCGAGACTCACCTCAACACAACTAGCTGACATCATAGCTCCCAGAGGCTCACCTGAACAGTAGCTGACATCATACCACCCCGCGACTCACCTGAACACAAGTTGATGACATCATAGCACCCCGAGACTCACCTGAACACAAGTACCTGACATCACAGCTCATAGAGACTCACCTGAACACAAGCAGCTTACATCATAGCTCCCCGAGACTTACCTGAACACAAGTAGCTGACATCATTACTCCCCGCAACTTACCTGAACACAAGTTGATGACATCATAGCTCCGCGAGACTCACCTGAACAAAGAAGGTGACATCATAGCTCCCCGAGACTCACCTGAACACAAGTAGCTCACATCACAGCTCCGCGAGACTCACCTCAACACAAGTAGATGACATCACAGCTCCCAGAGACTCACATGAAGACAAGGAGCTCACATCATAGCTCCCCGAGACTCACCTGAACACAAGTAGCTGACTTCATAGCTCCACGAGACTCACCTGAACAAAAGTTGATGACCTCACAGCTCCCTGAGACTCACCTGAACACAAGTAGATGACATCACAGCACCCTGAGACTCACCTGAACACAAGTAGATGACATCCATCTCCCAGAGACTCACCTGAAGACAAGTAGATGACATCACAGCTCCCTGAGACTCACCTGAACACAAGTAGCTAACATCACAGCTCCCAGAGACACACCTCAAGACAAGGAGCTGACATCATAGCTCCCCGAGAATCACCTGAACACAAGTAGCTGACATCATAGCTCCACTCATAGCTCCACGAGATTCATCTGAGCAAAAGCAGCTGACATCATAGGTCCCCGAGACTCACCTGAACAAAAGTAGCTGACATCATAGCTCCTCGAGACTTACCTGAAGACAAGTAGATGACATCACAGCTCCCAGAAACACACCTTTAAGACAAGGAGCTGACATCATAGCTCCCCGAGACTCACCTGAACACAAGTAGCTGACATCTGCATCATAGCTCCACGAGACTCACCTGAGCAAAAGCAGCTGACATCATAGGTCCCCAAGACTCACCTGAACACAAGTAGCTGACATAACAGCTCCCCGCGACTCACCTGAAGACAAGTAGCTGACCTCAAAGCTCCCTGACACTCACCTGAACACAAGTAGCTGACATCACAGCTCTCCGAGACTCACCTGAACACAAGCAGATGACGTCATAGCTCCCCGAGACTCACCTAAACACAAGTAGCTAACATCATAGTTCCACGAGACTCATCAGAACACAAGTAGCTAACACCATAGCTCCCCGCGACTCACCTAAACACTAGTAGCTGACATCAAAACTCCCTGCGACTCACCTGAACACAAAAAGATGACATCACGGCTCCAGGACACTTACCTGAACACATGTAGCTGACATCATAGCTTCCCGAGACTCACCTGAACACTAGTAGCTGACATTAAAGCTCTCGGAGACTTACCTGAACACAAGTAGCTGACATCACAGCTCCTAGAGACTCACCTGAGCACAAGTAGCTGACATCATAGCTCCCCAAGACTCACCTGAACACAAGTAGCTGACATCATAGCTCCCTTAGACTCACCTGTACACAAGTACTTGACATCATAGCTCCCCGAGACTCACCTGTACACAAGTACCTGATATCATAGCTCCCAAAGACTCACCTGAACACAAGTAGCTGACATCATAGCTCCCCGAGACTCACCTGTATACAAGTAACTGACATAATAGCTCCCCGAGACTCACCTAAACAGTAGCTGACACCATAGCTACCCGAGACTCCCTTGAACACAAGTAGCTGACATCATAGCTCCCCATCAAACTCACCTGAACACAAGTAGTTGACATCATAGCTCCTCGAGACTCACCTGAACACGAGTTGACATCATAGCTCCAGGAGACTCACCTGAACACAAGTAGCTGACATCATAGCTCCCTGAGACTCACCTGGACACAGAATGATGACATCATAGCTTCAGGAGACTCACCTGATCACAATTAGCTGACATCATACCTCCTCGCGACTCACCTGAACACAAGTTGATGACATCATAGCTCCCCGAGACTCACCTGAACACTGAAGGTGCCATCATAGCTCCCGAGACTCACCTGAACACAAGTAGCTGACATCACAGGTCCCCGAGACTCACCTGTACACAAGTAGCTGACATCATAGCTCCCCGAGAGTCACCTTAACACAAGTAGCTGACATCACAGCTCCCTGCGGCTCACCGGAACACAAGTAGCTGACATCATAGCTCCTCGAGACTCACCTGAAGATAAGAAGCTGACATCATAGGTCCCCGAGACTCATCTGAACACAAGTAGCTGACATCATAGCTCTCCGACACTCACCTGAACACAAGTAGCTAACATCACAGCTCCCTGAGACTCACCTGAACACAAGTAACTGACATCACAGCTCCCCGAGACTCACCTGAACACAAGTAGCTGACATCACAGCTCCCCGAGACTCACCTGAACACAAGTAACTGACATCATAGCTCCTCGAGACTCACCTGAACACAAGTAGCTGACAACACAGCTCCCCGAGACTCACCTGAACACAAGTAGCTGACACCATAGCTCCCCGAGACTCACCTGAAGAAAAGTAGCTGACACCATAGCTCCCCGAGACTCACCTGAACACAAGTAGCTGACATCACAGCTCCCCGAGACTCACCTGAACACAAGAAGCTGACATCATAGCTCCCCGCGACTCACCTGAACACAAGTAGCTGACATCATAGCTCCCCAAGACTCACCTGAACAGTAGCTGACTCTATAGCTACCCGAGACTCACCTAAACACTAGTAGCTGACATCAAAACTCCCTGCGACTCACCTGAACACAAAAAGATGACATCACGGCTCCAGGACACTTACCTGAACACATGTAGCTGACATCATAGCTCCCCGAGACTCACCTGAACACAAGTATCTGACATTACAGCTCTCGGAGACTTACCTGAACACAAGTAGCTGACATCACAGCTCCTAGAGACTCACCTGAGCACAAGTACCTGACATCATATCTCCCCAAGACTCACCTAAACACAAGTAGCTGACATCATAGCTCCCCGAGACTCACCTGTACACAAGTACTTGACATCATAGCTCCCCGAGACTCACCTGTACACAAGTACCTGACATCATAGCTCCCCGAGACTCACCTGAACACAAGTAGCTGACATCATCGCACCCCATCAAACTCACCTGAACACAAGTAGCTAACATCATAGCTCTCTGAGACTCACCCGAACACAAGTAGCTGACATCATAGCTCCAGAAGACTCACCTGAACACAAGTAGCTGACATCATAGCTCCAGAAGACTCACCTGAACACAAGTAGCTGACACCATAGCTCCCTGAGACTCACCTGGACACAAAATTATGACATCATAGCTTCAGGAGACTCACCTGAACACAAGTAGATGACATCATAGCTCCCCGAAACTCACCTGAACACAAGTAGATGACATCACAGCTCCTGAGACTCACCTCAACACAAGTAGCTGACATCATAGCTCTCCGAGACTCACCTGAACACAAGTAGATGACATGATAGCTCCCCGAGACTCACCTGAACACAAGTAGATGACATCACAGCTCCCTGAGACTCACCTCAACACAAGTAGCTGACATCATAGCTCCCTGAGACTCACCTGTACACAAGTACTTGACATCATAGCTCCCCGAGACTCACCTGTACACAAGTACCTGATATCATAGCTCCCCAAGACTCACCTGAACACAAGTAGCTGACATCATAGCTCCCCGAGACTCACCTGTATACAAGTAACTGACATAATAGCTCCCCGAGACTCACCTGAACAGTAGCTGACACCATAGCTACCCGAGACTCCCTTGAACACAAGTAGCTGACATCACAGCTCCCCATCAAACTCACCTGAACACAAGTAGTTGACATCATAGCTCCCCGAGACTCACCTGAACACAAGTAGCGGACATCATAGCTCCAGGAGACTCACCTGAACACAAGTAGCTGACATCATAGCTCCCTGAGACTCACCTGGACACAGAATTATGACATCATAGCTTCAGGAGACTCACCTGATCACAAGTAGCTGACATCATAGCTCCCTGCGACTCACCTGAACACAAGTTGATGACATCATAGCTCCCGAGACTCACCTGAACACAAGTAGCTGACATCGCAGGTCCCCGAGACTCACCTGTACACAAGTAGCTGACATCATAGCTCCCCGAGAGTCACCTGAACACAAGTAGCTGACATCACACCTCCCTGCGGCTCACCGGAACACAAGTAGCTGACATCATAGCTCCTCGAGACTCACCTGAAGATAAGAAGCTGACATCATAGGTCCCCGAGACTCATCTGAATACAAGTAGCTGGCATCATCGCTCCCCACCAGACTCACCTGAACACAAGTAGCTGACATCATAGCTCTCCGACACTGACCTGAACACAAGTAGCTAACATCACAGCTCCCTGAGACTCACCTGAACACAAGTAACTGACATCATAGCTCCCCGCGACTCACCTGAACACAAGTAGCGACATCACAGCTCCCTGAGACTCACCTGAACACAAGTAACTGATATCATAGCTCCTCGAGACTCACCTGAACACAAGTAGCTGACATCACAGCTCCCCGAGACTCACCTGAACACAAGTAGCTGACACCATAGCTCCCCGAGACTCACCTGAAGAAAAGCTGACACCATAGCTCCCCGAGACTCACCTGAACACAAGGAGCTGACATCATAGCTCCCCGAGACTCACCTGAACACAAGTAGCTGACATCATAGCTCCCTGAGACTCACCTGGACACAAAATTATGACATCATAGCTTCAGGAGACTCACCTGAACACATGTAGCTAACATCATAGCTCTCCGAGACTCACATGAACACAAGTAGCTGACACCATAGCTCTCCGAGACTCACCTGAACACAAGTAGCTGACATCATAGCTCCAGGAGACTCACCTTAACACAAGTTGCTGACATCATAGCTCCCTGAGACTCACCTGGACACAATATTATGACATCATAGCTTCAGGAGACTCACCTGAACACATGTAGATGACATCATAGCTCCCCGAGACTCACCTGAAGACAAGTAGATGACATCACAGCTCCCTGAGACTCACCTGAACACAAGAAGCTGACATCATAGCTACCCAAGACTCACCTGAACACTGGTAGCTGACATCACAGCTCCCTGAGACTCACCTGAACACAAGTAGCTGACATCATAGCTGCCCGAGACTCACCTGAACACTGGTAGCTGACATCACAGCTCCCTGAGACTCACCTGAACACAAGTAGCTGACATCATAGCTGCCCGAGACTCACCTGAACACTGGTAGCTGACATCACAGCTCCCTGAGACTCACATGAACACAAGTAGATGACATCATAGCTCCCCGAGACTCACCTGAACACAAGTAGCTGACATCACAGCTTTCCGCGACTCACCTGAACACAAATAGCTGACATCATAGCTCCCCAAGACTCACCTGAACACAAGAAGCTGACATCATAGCTACCCCAGACTCACCTGAACACAAGTAGCTGACATCATAGCTCCCCCAGACTCACCTGAACACAAGTAGCTGACATCATAGCTCCCTGAGACGTCCAGCACCATACCTGCAGAGTAAAAGTCATTAAAGCTTTCAGAAGACGAAAATCTATGGGCTTAGCAAAATTCCTTCGAGTCTAGGAACACTATATTCTCAATAATACTATAAACAAAAGTTAACAAGAAAAATAAAGAGAAATATTTGCTAATTGCTGATATTTTGTGTAAATATAACAACTCCAAGCCTCTATCTGCTTGAAAAAAATAATTCAGCCTCAATAAAAAGTCTCAACTGCAAAATAGCCATCCTCATCAATACAGAGTATAGTCAAGGAAGATACCTGTATTGTCAAAAGTCATGAATTTACAACATCATTACAAGATACGCCAGGAGAATCAAGTTAGCTTAAAATGTACCCTATTGCAGTTGGTGATGCATCAGTTGTGAGGATGAAGGGTTTGTTTGGGTCCGGATATGCAAGGATGGGGGCAAGAAAGTAAGGGCTTATTTAAGCTTTTCAATTGCCTGTTGGCATTTATTGGACCATTTGAAAGACGCATCTTCTTTTCGAAGGTTACATAGAGGGTAGGTGATGTCAGAAAACTTTTCTACAAATTTGTGATTATACAAGGCCAAACCAAATGATGTATGTTGTGGACATTTTTAGGGGGATGGGATCCGTGTGAATCTATTTTTAAAGGATCGACATCTTTGCTGAATATATGCCCTAAATTGGTGACTTGTTTGGTCGAGAATTTACATTTGTAAATGCTCTGTCCTGCTCATTTGATCTATTGGAATACTGCCTTCAGGGGATTCAAATCTTGTGAAACGTTCTAGAAATATTATGATGTCATCGTCATATATTAATATATAACGCCAGTTCATTTAATGCTTGAAATGGTGAGCTGAAATGCCATAGGAGCATTTTTGAGGGCCGAAAGGAAGGCAATTCCGCTCGAAAACTTGATTGGGTGTAAAGAAGGCTGATTTCATTTTGTGTCTGGATGGAGTGGTATTTTCCAAAAGCCACTAGCACTATCAAGGACAGTAAAAATGTTTGCATGGCTGTCGCCAATAAGTGTCATCAACAACATCTTCAAAACGTGGTAGAGAGGAAGATATAGGCTTGGTAACTGCATTGACGTCTATAATCGTCTATAATCTACGGCAAAGCGGTAAGAGCTGTCTCGTTTTTAACCATGACAACAGAAGAGTGCCATTCAGAAGAACTGGGCTGAATGATATTGGCTACTAACATTTCTTGCACCTGCCTGGAACATGGCTGCGTTTTGCTTTGAAAAGGGAGTCTAATGGGTCTGGCGTCACCTGTTTCTATTTTGTGATGATGTAAGTAAGTATGTCCTAATCCTGACCAGTCTGAGAAAAAAACTGATCTTTGTGATTGGAGAAATGCATTGTACTGTATACATGTACTTTCAATATTGTCACTATTTTTAAAACGCTTTTGAGGACAAAAGCTCCACGATGTTCAGGGGTATTGTTACAGTGCAAACCACATCAATAGGTTTCTTTAAAACATCATTTATCTCAAAAACCAAATTGTTTCAATATGTTTCCAAAGTGCACAGAAATTCTTTCTCCTTTTTCTGTATGTATACAGCAAACATTCAGCATATCCCCTCTAACCATAAGTCCCCTCCGGGCAGGACCCTTAATCCCCAGTGCTATCTATGAATGTCAAGTTATTGTGTTCTATATTCTTTCCATAGGTTTAATTTGAAATAATTTGTCATAAAAACATATTAGTTCTCTTTTAAGATGAAAAACATTTCACCCCCTACAAATGAAGGAAAAAACTTACCCCCCCCCCCAAAAAAAAAATGCCCCCTATCCTCCTAATTTCAAAATGGTCCGTCCCTTACACCATACATAAGTAGGTTTATGGTATACATTCAATTATAAATCACATATATAAGTGAAAACATAAAGCATTACTCCATTGATGGGTATGGTTATCAGTAAGACTTTCAGAGTCAACACACCTGCAAATGGAGGTCCTAGCAGTAGCGATAGTCCAACAAAGAGATTCTTGACTCCATATCCAGTTGCCAGCCGTTTCACTCCAACTAGATCTGCGGTGATGGGGTTGAACAAAGCTATTGGTCCTCCAGTATAAATGCCATACAAACACGAAAATATGACTTGTTGTAGATAAGTGTCAGAAAACAATGTAAACACCATGATGACCACACCAGCAACACCGACTGTGCCCAAGTGCAGAATCAGTGAGTCTATTGCAGGATCATTGGCAGCAAACCCACCCAGCACTCGAGCGATCATGCTTGAAATTCCCATGGCTGTAAATAACATGGCCGACCTCTGTTGGCTTGTTCCCTTTGATTCCACATAATTGGGGAGATGTATTTGGAAAGCGGATTCCCCAAAACCCCATGTTGCGAAGGATATGGCATACAAAAGGAAACTAACGTTGGACAGTATTTGTCCAAATTCATATATAATCTCCCTGAATCGATAGAAAAAGCAGCTTACTATTTGCCTATTTGTGTTGTGTTCCTCCTGCAAAATGTTATCACTTGTTGATGATCTCTGATTTTCGAATGGCGATGGTCTCATGAGCATTCCACACACACATGAATTGGCTCCAACACTGCCCAGTATAAGAAACATTCCACTTAAACCGAAAGTGTCCAACAGAAGACGCACTAGTGGTGCGCCAATCAGCATTCCCCACCCTGCACCGGACGTCTGAATCCCGGCCGCTAGAGGGCGATACTTGACGAAGTAATGACCGGTGATTACAATGGCTGCTGTCTCCATGAAACTCATCCCAAGACCTGAAATGAGAGTTAACAAATCAAGGCATCACACTAGTAAGTCTCCTGTTCAGTGATTCTGTATGCTGTATTAAAAATATATTTTACTTTGAATCTTGTAATTTATGTTTGACACCAATATCTCACCAACAACGACGCCATAGGATGCAATGAGCATGTTGATAGAGTTGGCGAAAGAGGCGCCAACCATGCCGGCCAGAATCAATATTCCTCCAATGATGGACGAGAGGCGACAACCCAGCAAATTTACAAGTGAACTTGTGATTGGACCTGTAAAGATAAGAACATTCCGTTCAAGGGGAAGACGGTAGTGTCTGTGTAAGCATATATACCGCGTAGGTCATTGTGTGTGAAATGTGTAAACTATTTTGCCAAATCAACGTGGCTTAAACTCGTGGAAGTGTTCCTTTGTGAATTTTTCTACACTCAAAAAACGTATTTACCCGTCAGCATCACAGTTCCTAACAACGAGGACCCAACCCACGACGTCTTTACGACTCCCTCTTCCATTTCCTCCAATACAGCTGTTATGATGACGCCGGTAGAATAGTACAACATGCCCGCGATGACCACCTGTAGCCAGCTGACGGTCAGAATCACCCATGCATAACCACGGTCGATACTCCCGTTAGTTGACATCTGAAAACAGGTATTGTAAAAGCATGACTTCTTTGCGAAAACAGGATTTACAGATGACAGAAATACGAGGTCAAAAACGTATAAGGAACAGATTTACAATTTAGCATCTGAAGATAAAATTGGAGATGATGGGTCTTGCTGACATGAGGTCATCCTCATAGTGTCCCACAGGCCAATATCATTTGGTGTTCTGCGGGATGACAAAATACAACACCAGTCTACCCTTATACAATGTTCTGTAGGGTGGCATTACATCACAATACAACACCAGTCTACCCTTATACGTTGTTCTGTATGATGGCATTACATCACAATACAACACCAGTCTACCCTTATACGTTGTTCTGTAGGGTGGCCTTACATCACAATACAACACCAGTCTACCCTTACACAATGTTCTGTAGGGTGGCATTACATCACAATACAACTCCAGTCTACCCTTATACATTGTTCTGTAGGGTGGCATTACATCACAATACAACACCAGTCTACCCTAACACAATGTTCTGTAGGTTGGCATTACATCACAATACAACACCAGTCTACCCTTATACAATGTTCTGTAGGGCGGCATTACATCACAATACAACACCAGTCTACCCTTACACAATGTTCTGTAGGGTGGCATTACATCACAATACAAAACCAGTCTACCCTTATACAATGTTCTGTAGGGTGGCATTACATCACAATACATCACCAGTCTACCCTTATACGTTGTTTTGTCTGATGGCATTACATCACAATACAACACCAGTCTACCCTTATACAATGTTCTGTAGGGCGGCATTACATCACAATACAACACCAGTCTACCCTTATACAATGTTCTGTAGGGTGGCATTACATCACAATACAACACCAGTCTACCCTTATACGTTGCTCTGTCTGATGGCATTACATCACAATACAACACCAGTCTACCCTTATGCAATGTTCTGTAGGGTGGCATTACATCACAATACATCACCAGTCTACCCTTATACAATGTTCTGTAGGGTGGCATTACATAACAAAACAACAAGAGTCTACCCTTATACGTTGTTCTGTATGATGGCATTACATCACAAAACAACAAGAGTCTACCCTTATTCAATGTTCTGTAGGGTGGCATTACATCACAATACAACACCAGTCTACCCTTATAGTTGCTCTGTCTGATGGCATTACATCACAATACAACACCAGTCTACCCTTATACGTTGTTCTGTATGATGGCATTACATCACAAAACAACAAGAGTCTACCCTTATTCAATGTTCTGTAGGGTGGCATTACATCACAATACAACACCAGTCTACCCTTATACGTTGTTCTGTATGGTGGCATTACATCACAATACAACACCAGTCTACCCTTATACGTTGCTCTGTCTGATGGCATTACATCACAATACAACACCAGTCTACCCTTATACGTTGCTCTGTCTGATGGCATTACATCACAATACAACACCAGTCTACCCTTATACAATGTTCTGTATGATGGCATTACATCACAATACAACACCAGTCTACCCTTATACAATGTTCTGTAGGGCGGCATTACATCACAATACAACACCAGTCTACCCTTATACAATGTTCTGTAGGGTGGCATTACATCACAATACAACACCAGTCTACCCTTATGCAATGTTCTGTAGGGCGGCATTACATCACAATACAACAATAGTCTACCCTTATACGTTGTTCTGTCTGATGGCATTACATCACAATACAACACCAGTCTACCCTTATGCAATGTTCTGTAGGGTGGCATTACATTACAATACATCACCAGTCTACCCTTATACAATGTTCTGTAGGGTGGCATTACATCACAATACAACACCAGTCTACCCTTATACGTTGTTCTGTATGATGGCATTACATCACAACACAAAACCAGTCTACCCTTATACAATGTTCTCTAGGGTGGCATTACATCACAATACAACACAAGTCTACCCTTATACGTTGTTTTGTCTGATGGCATTACATCACAATACAACACCAGTCTACCCTTATACAATGTTCTGTAGGGCGGCATTACATCACAATACAACACCAGTCTACCCTTATACGTTGTTCTGTATAATGGCATTACATCACAATACAACACCAGTCTACCCTTATACAATGTTCTGTAGGGTGGCATTACATCGCAATACAACTCCAGTCTACCCTTATACATTGTTCTGTAGGGTGGCATTACATCACAATACAACACCAGTCTACCCTTACACAATGTTCTGTATGATGGCATTACATCTCAATATAACACCAGTCTACCCTTATACAATGTTCTGTAAGGTTGCATTCCATCACAATACAACACCAGTCTACCCTTATACAATGTTCTGTATGATGGCATTACATCACAATACATCACCAGTCTACCCTTATACAATGTTCTGTATGATGGCATTACATCACAATACAACACCAGTCTACCCTTATACGATGTTCTGTAGGGTGGCATTACATCACAATACAACACCAGTCTACCCTTATACAATGTTCTGTAGGGTGGCATTACATCACAATACAACACCAGTCTACCATTATACGATGTTCTGTAGGGTGGCACTACATCACAATACAACACCAGTCTACCATTATACGTTGTTCTGTCTGATGCCATTACATCAAAATACAACACCAGTCTACCCTTATACGTTGTTCTGTATGATGGCATTACATCACAATACAATACCAGCCTACCCTCATACAATGTTCTGTATGGATATAGATAGATAGATAGATAGAAAGATAGATAGATAGATAGATAGATAGATAGATAGATAGATAGATAGATAGAGACAGAGACAGAGACAGACAGACCGACAAAGAGAGACCGAGACGTTACGACTGCAAGTGGAAAGAAAGGGAGGGGGAGAAAGAGAGGGAGAGAGAGGGAGATAGAGAGAGAGGGGGAGGTGGAAGCTGAAATGCACATGTGACTAACTGAAAGAACGAACAGAGCACAGAGAGTAGTGTTGCCTTGCTCTATGCCTAGGTCAAAGTCACATCGAATAGTATCCAACCGTAATCCCTGTGCACTTCTCTCTATGTAAAAGACAACGATCCCTACCTCGGACACTCCACAGATCAGCGGGCAGTGTATGGCCAAACAGGAGACGTGTCCTTTGTTTCAACCCCAGCTCCGCGAGGGCGTCTCTGACCTAAAACCAGCTGCACGTTAAGCCCCACGGCCCTTGCCATTGATCTTAACATGTATTTATTTACCTCATCTTGTGAACTGACAAAGTTGTCAAAATGTCCATGGTGCGCACAGACACAAGACAAAATATGTATATTATATTTTCTTCATGACCAGTCAACGAGGCAGAATGACTGGGTACAATGTGACTGGAGTTGAACAAAGGAGTTGAAGTGGTGAACAAACTACAATGTAGGCATACTGCACAAGGAACGAATTACATTGTCGGCGAGAAGAACTGGGAGCTGACTAAATTGTAGGTGAACTGCACTAGTAACTAACTACACTTTATGTGAACTGCACTTGTAACTAACTACGTTGTAGGTGAACTGTACTAGTAACTAACTACGCTTTAGGTGAACTGTACTAGTAACTAACTACGTTGTGGGTGAACTGCACTAGTAACTAACTACGCTGTAGGTGAACTGCACTAGTAAACTAACTACGCTGTAGATGAACTGCACTAGTAACTAACTACGCTGTAGGTGAACTGTACTAGTAACTAACTACGTTGTAGGTGAACTGCACCAGTAACTAACTACGCTTTAGGTGAACTGTACTATTAACTAACTACGTTGTAGGTGAACTTCACTAGTAACTAACTACGCTGTAGATGAACTGCACTAGTAACTAACTACGGTTTAGGTGAACTGTACTAGTAACTAACTACGTTGTAGGTGAACTGCACTAGTAACTAACTACGCTGTAGGTGAAGTGCACTAGTAACTAACTATGCTGTAGGTGAACTGTACTAGTAACTAACTACGTTGTAGGTGAACTGCACTAGTAACTAACTACGCTGTAGGTGAACTGCACTAGTAACTAACTACGCTGTAGATGAACTGCACTAGTAACTAACTACGGTTTAGGTGAACTGTACTAGTAACTAACTACGTTGTAGGTGAACTGCACTAGTAACTAACTACGCTGTAGGTGAAGTGCACTAGTAACTAACTACGCTTTAGGTGAACTGTACTAGTAACTAACTACGTTGTAGGTGAACTGCACTAGTAACTAACTACGCTGTAGGTGAACTGCACTAGTAACTAACTACGCTGTATGTGAACTGTACTAGTAACTAACTACGTTGTAGGTGAACTGTACTAGTAACTAACTACGCTGTAGGTGAACTGCACTAGTAACTAACTACGTTGTAGGTGAACTGCACTACTAACTAACTACGCTGTAGGTGAACTGTACTAGCAACTAACTACGTTGTAGGTGAACTGCACCAGTAACTAACAACGTTGTAGGTGAACTGCACTAGTAACTAACTACGCTGTAGGTGAAGTGCACTAGTAACTAACTACGCTGTAGGTGAAGTGCACTAGTAACTAACTACGCTTTAGGTGAAGTGCACTAGTAACTAACTACGTTGTAGGTGAACTGCACTAGTAACTAACTACGCTGTAGGTGAACTGCCCTTTTAACTCACAACGTTGTAGGTGAACTGCACTGGTAACTTACAACATAGTAGGTGAAGTGCACTAGTAACTAACTACGTTGTAGGTGAATTGCACTAGTAACTAACAACGTAGTAGGTGAAGTGCACTAGTAACTAACTACGTTGTAGGTGAATTGCACTAGTATCTAACTACGCTGTAGGTGAACTGCACTAGTAAGTAACTACGCTGTAGGTGAACTGCAGTAGTAACTGACTAGGCTGTAAGTGAAGTGCACTAGTAACTAACAACGTTGTAGGTGAACTGCACTAGTAACTAACTACGCTGTAGGTGAACTGCAGTAGTAACTAACTACGCTGTAGGTGAACTGCACTAGTAACTAACTACGCTGTAGGTGAACTGCATCAGTAACTAACTACGCTGTAGGTGAACTGCATCAGTAACTCACAACGTTGTAGGTGAATTGCACTAGTAACTAACTACGCTGTAGGTGAACTGCACTAGTAACTAACTACGCTGTAGGTGAACTGCATCAGTAACTAACTACGCTGTAGGTGAACTGCACTTGTAACTTGTAACTATTGACAACTCGCTTTCTTTATTAATCCTCAAAAGCTCTGTTTAGTTATCAGTTCGGATAATTAGGTAAATAAGTAGAGTTTGATGAACATTTTATGTCATAATTTGTTGTTTTACAAAATGTGAATAAAATGACCTATTTTTCAATTCAGAATTGGAACGTTTTTCATTCTGAAACGCAGTGACACTAAGTCTTATCACTAACAATATGTTAGCTGGCAGGGATGTGCCCTATTTCCTCTATTAGACGCCGGGTCTCCAATACACACCGGCCTCGAATTGACCGGGTCAAATGTTGTGTCTGTTACCCCGTTACTTAGGGGATAACAAGGCGTATTCTTATCCTTAAATGAGAGTCAGTGATCAGTCAAAGAGATGTTCCAGTATTGATTGTGAGGTTCAGTGTGTTATACATGATATATTCATCAAACAATAATCTTAAATGTACATTTCATTTTGATTGATGTATTAGCGTTTCACGTGGAAGAGTTTGTGTACATCATTACAATTATAATATTTCGTTTTTTCAACACAACACTGGATAATAATCGTTCAGGAACCATTCATACAATTACTTAGATCACATCTCACTTATACCTCAAAGGTTGTCATATAAATCTTATTTGCCGTTGAACCTAATATGTACATTGGTTCTCTATCAGCATATAATTAATCATACATGAGTGCAATAAATACACAACTATTCATGACAATAGATCTAATTTATTTACGTATTCAAAAATGACTGAGATATTATGCACGACAATATTCATGAAGAAATTATTTAGAAATACCCAAAATACATAATATTTGCCGCTTTCTATTCATCATAAATAGTAAATTTCTATCATGATATTATTGACATAAATAATAGAATTTGTACAAGTGAGCTTACCTTAAATTTGAAGGGAGAATTCCGCGAGTCAACTTACTTACTTATATTGGAGATTTTACGTGCGCTTTCCGGCTTCACGCGTATGTCGCACACGGGCCCGCCAGGCCATTTAATGTGTTTCCGAAAGGGGGAAAAGGAAGTGGTGGTGCAACCCAGGAGGGGGGTTTAAGGGTTGCTTATATAGTAATATTGGGATTTTGAGATTTGGAATGAATGCCAAGAGTTGGTAGGGGGCGAACTAAGGGAGCTGTGTGTGGTGGGTGGTTTGTTAGTTTATGTGATTTTGGTCTTTTTAGTTTATTTGGGGTTTAAATGCGACTAATTAGTCCTGTTTTAATTAAGTATATGCCTTAGGCTTTGAATTCTTCTATTTTATTTTGTGGAATTTAAGATTGATTCTAGAGTAAGTGCAGTATTAAGATTTAGGGTGGTTTGTAGTGTAGTTCGGTGTGTTTGGTAGTGGGTGCAGTGGATGAGTACATGTTCTGGGGTTTATTGTTGTTTGCAGTGTGGGCAGGTTCCTGTTGCGTGTAGTTTAACTTTTTTAAGGTGGTAATTTAGTTTGGTGTAGCCTGTTTATAGTTTAGTGATTATTCTGTCGATTTTTTTGGATGGGTGTAGTATTTTTGGTTTAGTTAGTGGTTTTTTAAGGACTTTTCTGATTTGGCTATCTGAGTTTAGGTATATGTTTTGCCATTTTTTGGTGATTTTTTGTGAAGTGACACTTATAAATTCTGATTTTGAGATAGGTAAGTTTAAGCTTATTTCTGGGAGTTTAAGGGATAATTTTGCTGCTTTATCTGCGTTTTCATTGCCAAAGATTCATACGTGGGCGGGGATCCAAATGAATTCTATTTGTTTGCCTGCCTTAGTTAAGTCGTTTGAGCTTTCGAGTATTTGATTTTTTAGTAGGGGCGTTTTTTTGTGTTTTTATTTTTGAGGGCTTGCAGTCCACTGAGGGAGTCGGTTACGATTAGGATTGTTGGGGTTTTTTAGATTGCTGATTGTGTAGGGATGAGGCCATGCCTATTAGTTTGGCCGTGAAAATGGATTGGTTGTTTGGGAGTCGGTAGGATTGGGTAATTTTAGTTGGTTGTGCAATGTGGACTCCGAAACCTGTGTGTTTGGAGATCGGATCTGAGGATCCGTCTGTGTATATGTGACATCAATTTGGCAAATTTTAGTGTATGTATGCTTGTGTGATGGTTTTAGCTATGTTAGGGTCAGTCTGTTTGTTTAGTGTATTGCCTAGAGTTGTGTCTATCTTAGGTATTTTAAGTTTTGGGGTGAAGATATTTGATTGTTTACTGTTTTGTTTGAGATTATTAATTTTGTGTTCATTCAGGTAATTGATTATTCTTTGGGATATTGGAGTGAATAGTGGATGTTTCCGGGCTAGGGCTTGGTTTTTGGGGCTAATATTGTTTTTAATTATGTTTTGGATTAGAGGGTTTGACTGGGACGCGGCCCAGAAGTTTAGGGTAAGTTGTTCCCTACGTAGTTTAAGTGGCATTTCTCCTGTTAAGGCCTGGAGTGAGGTGGAGGAGGTGCCATGTTGAGTTCGTGTGATTAGTTTTAGAGCCTGATACTAGATTGGGTCTAGTTTTTTTAATGAGAGAGTTGTTTAGGGTGTTGTAAATGGCACGGCCGTAGTCTAGTTTGGATCTAATTAGTGATATATAGAGTGAGAGGAGGGTATCTTTGGAGGCTCCCAAGTTGGAGCCGGTTAGGCATCTTAGCGTATTTAGATCTTTGCTGCATTTTGATATTAGGTTTTAAATGTGTGCATCTCAGGTGAGATGTTCATCGAAGATTAAACCTTAGAATTTGGTTTGTTTTTTAAATGTGTTTGTTTTGTTGTTTTGTTGGAGGTTTTGCATATTTTTGTGTTTAAATACTATTCCTGTTGTTTTTTCCGAGTTTAGGGAGAAGCCCCATTTGTCAGCCCATTGCTGTATTTTATTTAGGGATTTTTGAAGTAAGTTTTGGGCCATATCAATGCTTTTAGTGCGGATCCAGTGGATGATGACTTGGTTGATGCTTGTCATCGATCCTAATTGCGTGGATCGATGCT